AGCAACACGAGGAGGACGAGAATGAGACCTTGGCAGCCAATAGTGGCGCCGAGGCCATTGAGGTATTTCGGGGTGTCCTTTTCTCTGTAAACGGTCGATCTATCAAGAAAGTCAGTGTCGAAATCAACATAGAAAACAAGAAAAGTAAATAACTCACGCAAAGATTCCACCAATTCCGCCGAACCCGATGACGAGAGCCGAAGCAACAGCACGCTTGCTGTGTGAGAGGATGTTGTTTGCTTGGTACGCGAGGACAGCGGGGACGTTGGCCTGGCAGCCTGCGATGGCGAGGAAACTGCCGAAGTAGCGGGGACCGATTTTCCCTCCAAAGGCCATGATGAACAGCCCAGTCATGCAGACGAGCGCACTGATCGCGATGAACATCGCCCGCTTGCGGAGCCTGTCGCTCGCGAATGCTATCTGCTCACTCCGTTAGACAGCACCAAGAGATAAGGGCGAGAGGGAATAACTGACAGCGAAGGTGTAGATTGCAGCAAAGACGTAGGGAGGTGCCGAAAGAAGGAGGGAAGTCTCGACAGTGTATCCTCCTCCCGCCAATATGACCTGCGGAAATTGATTGAGCTCAGGATCGTAAGAGATAATGTCGATGGAACGTACGGGTAAAAAGAATGAAAAGGCGTAAGCAGGCATGGTCGACGACATGAACAACAGTCCATAAGCCCAAAGCCTCCAATCAGCTACATGCTTCATCGTGACCTTTCCCGTCAAGTGGTCTGGTTCCGCGTCTCCTCGGTCCTTGCTGAGTTGAAATAGTTAGTTCCGAGCGCGGGGACACGGATTTCCGACTTACTTGATCTTGTCGATGATATGCTTCGTCTCCCTCGGCGTCAGGAAGGTGGCCTTGTCGGGGAAGTCAACTGAACGGGGAAAGCGCCGCACAATAAGCTACAACTGACAGAGGGAAGATATTTTAGGCGAAGACGGACCGAGGACAAAGAAGGCAATGAGCCCTAAACCAATGGTGACAGCACCGAACACAATGAAGACCCATCTCCAAGCGGTGAGACCGTGTTTCCCGCCGAGTTTCGTGATGGCGTCTACAGAGGAGGAATGAGCGACGCTTAGAGGCGATGGAGGGACCGACTGACATCCTATGATCTGGGAGAATCCAGATATAACCATGCTCGTGAGATAGAAGACTGCAAGCCTCTTCTGCGTTTGATACCGTGTGTACCAGCCTGTCGGCATGTGATCAGTCGAGGTACTAAATCATGTTTTGGTGCCTACATGAGATAAGGAATACACAGCCAGGGAAGAATCCTGGGGGAGGAGGGGTCAGACACGAAGCTTACCCAAAGTAAGAATAAAAAATCAACCTGATTCGAGGAGGCCAAGAATAACACGGCAAACTGCGAGCTGCTCCCATGTCTTGATGAAGCCCATTCCTCACAAAAAATAGGTGCATCAGAAATGGCCCTCTCAAAGGTATGGCTATAAACTGAACACACCAAGCATCTGAGTACATCGATTCGGGTTATATGAATATAGTAAGCATAGTAATATTGCTTACCACGCTACCCCACAGGACCACAATGGCGGAGAGGTGATTCCGCGTGCCAATCTTGCGCAAAAGAATGTTGCTTGGAAGTTGGAACTGCCCTCCTGTTAGCTAGAGCATGATGACGGTGGATTTGGGAGACGATACGCACGATGACGTATGGAATGAAGAAGAGGCTGTTGTTGGCATGCGTTGAATAGTATTCCGTGCGATAAAAAGAAACATCTAACTCACAGTGAGATGATCGAGTATCGTTCTCCGACCGTCAACTGGAGCTCTCTAAGCCAGAGAACCAAAACTGTCAGTTCATCTGGCAATCTGACATGAGGTAGGCGGACGCACGTTGCCATTCCAGCAACTCGAGCAACACTGATGTTGGTCCGATCGATGAGGGATACCGCGTAACATGCGCCTAGGATAACTAGAAGACGCAGGTCTATCTTGCGTCTGCGGGAAGGGATATTGAGAATACGTGGGGTAAAAGAGAGCGCATGAAAACTGACGTCAGAGCGCGGTCCTCTGCATCTGTGAACACCGAGGTGGCATCCAACCCATTCTCGAGATGTGCAACCTCTTGCTTGTCTTCGACTGAGGACGCGGAGATGGACATGGCGGGAGAAAAGAGAGCAAGAGTTACTAGTCTGAGTTCACGTTTTTGAAGGCGTGCGGCCAGGCACCCTAGCGAATCCTGGGCAGTTTGGTTACGACAGCCAAGGAGTATCAGATGATACGCACTATTGCAACCCGTAATTATGGAACTCATGACCTACCGGGACTCCGCACCGCAAATTCAACCGTTGTGTCTCCCACGGATTCCGAGCATGCGCTTCGTTCCAGTTGTGACGTGTTCTGTAATCACTGTGGTCCTAGAAAACGTAGCAGAGGCGGAGATTCAAGGATTCCAGAGGATTCCCAAGGTATTCAGGGATCGACGGCGGATGGCGATAGGTTCCGAGTCCCCGTGGGGAGATTGACAGAGATCGGCGCGGCATTAAGCAAGATATCAACCACGGGAGCTATGGGTAAAGGTAACTGGATTAGACCTTCCGCTACCTTGCGCAGGCTTAGCCCGCCCGTTTAGGGGCCAAATCCGTTTGAAAGATATCAGGCACAACCTTCAAGCTGCTTTGCATATTCGGGTGCTGAAAATTTACTCTCCCTGCCTGACAGTAGCGAATCAAGGGCTATCAAGGGTCGGATGGATCTGAAGGGTGTGCACAACTTGGCGTCGATCTACAACTTGGCGTCAGCTTCAAAGCCTGAACAGTCGTTGGAAGAATTCCTTTTCTCTCTGCACAGTAGTTCTTTCGTGGAGAGGAACCCAGTCAGAATTGAACGTTGATCCATCAAATGGGTTCTTCTGAATGGATGTTCTTCAGTTGCTGGAATCCCACAGGACAAAGAAAAATCAACGAAACCAGTGGAGAAGGCACTTTGTTCACTTGAAACTTTTGCCCAGCAGCAATCGTTTTTGGATTTTGCCAATGCATCTGGATTTTCTGTTCTTCTCCTCGCCTTGTAGCATTTCCTCTGGGGTTGTTCGTGTGAAATCTTGAATGAATGGGGAGTCGAACCCACTGAGAATCAGTCATCGGTCCATCGAACTTTGGTGATCTGAACAATGGATGTTCTTCGGTTCCTTGGCGCAAGAGTGTGGAATTCCAATGTTGGAGCTGAAGAAAGCCACGTACGTGGGCTAGAACTATGAACAGCAGCTGTATCGAAAGCAGATATGATTCACCGCACCTTATACATACGTCGAGGTGAAGAAGCCGTGGATGATTGGTTATGCTGCATGTCTGTTGCGGCGGCCACGGACTTGAGATATAGATGGCATGAGCGAGTAGAAACATATTGCATGCTTGAATCGGGTTGTAGAGGAGCAACTACTAGTAGGACGAAAACCGAATCCGGCCGCGCGCCATGTAAAGCCAGGGGGGATATAAGTAGACAGCGGGAGTAGAGAGCGCTGACGGGCCTAGTGTAACCTCCAAGACACAAAATCCGGGAGACAAAACAGCGGAGCAGTATGATGCGACATGAAGGTCGAAGGCAGGAGACGCGCTGTTTGCATCAGATGTGATCGCCAAATATCGGTCCGACCAGCCGACGGATTCCCTGCAGCAACCGTCCAGATTCCAGCGCGACAGAGTGTTTGAGGTGAGTTGAGTCATGTGAGTTTACCGAACGCGCTTTTACGATGCGACTGGAGGAGAGAATCCCTTGAAAGAAAGGAAAGTTGCGTTGGGGAATTGAACAAGAATTGAACTTCGTGATCTGCTTGGATAGGGGAAGAGATTCAGGTGGCGTTACCCAGCGAGCTCCCAAAGATCACAGAGGTGAAACGGGGAGGTCGGTTGAATGGGATAGGTAAGTACATTCTACCCTCTGCTTTTATACACTGCTGATCAATCTTCGGGCATGATTCGGTCATCCTGAGTCCTGACAATCCTGACACTGATCGACGGTTATACTCAAGCCGTACGGTCAAGTTGACTTCACCGACACGCTCTTATGCCGCGTTGTTCCTCCGGAGTTAATGGGGCTCAGCAGATGGGCCTACTGTCTATAGCTGTGTGAGGTCTTCAACGAATTCGCACAGGTGAACCCCGACCGGAGTTGCCGGTCCATCAAATTTGGTGATTTGAACAAGATTTGGATGGATAAGTTCTTCCCGTCTTCTTCAAAGTGTGCCCGGAGAAATCTCAGAAAATTTGATGGAAGTCTTGAATACTCACTAGGCAAAAAGGTCGACCATGCCCTGAACTCCTGTAGAAAGAAAAAAAGATTCTGAGTCGGCAGAATGGTTTATAGCATTGAGGATAGCAACCAAATTACTCTTGTGAAGATGTTTGGGAGTCCTACCGGAGTCTCTGTGTTTGGGTCGCGAAATTTGAGGGAGCCTCGGTAACTTCGCCAGGTCGAATATCACTGTTCACTTCCGAATTTTCCAGTGAAGTCACCAAGTCCATATTACCTACTGACTCGGAGTTTGGGCAGTTCTATGACAAGCCTCGAATCGAGAATCTGGAGGCGAAAGTATGGCTTGCTGGATTCGAAAAAATAAAAAGAGAGAAAAAAAAGACTGCTCAATTACGCTTGAGCAGAAGACTTCCTATGCGTCAGCGGGATCGTGAACACGTGCAGTTCGCTATTGTCAAAGCAGTAACTAAGGCATCGAAGATTGCAGGCTCACCTACATACCTCTGTTCCGGATTGCACCGAGTGGTCGAAACAAGTGATCGAACAGTTTTTTTGCCCATATCTCAACATCGAGGGAGCAGTTTGAGGTGAACCAAAGACAGGGATTATACAGAAAGGCTGCCTGATCATTCTATCATGTTCTTGAAAGGCAACACTTCGATGCGCCATCAGTCGGGGTAAAAAAGGAGAAATTAGGAAATCAACTTCTTTCAATTCATTTCATTCAAAAACAGTCGTAGTTTTACGTCCATTGTCAACGCAAAACATGCAAAAGCAATTCCCGCTAGCCGATTTGAACGACTGACCTCTTCATTCCCGTCATAGGTACTAGTGAAGCGCTACTACCGCTGAGCTAAGAGGGAGTTGTTGCTCTTTGCTTGACTAACCACACGGCAACAAATCCACCAAAGCGTTGAAAGGCTCGCGAGTATGTATGTACATGCATCGTATTCTACCGCTTACACGCGTTACAGTTGCCAGGAGAGCGCCGCTCAGTGCTATTCTGGATGAAACGTGATTATTTTAGCCGAATGATGGCCCAACAAAACACTTGTGTCGTGCTTGCCTTGCGGGGTAAAATCATGCCCATTAGCCGAGAGGCTGCACCAATGTCGAGGAATTATACTCAGGAACACTGGCAAAGCTTTGGAAAAGTGTTCCTACCAACGAGGGATCGAATGTGGTCGGGACCAACATACACGTCCTAATCGGGACGCTGGCGTTGAATCGGCCCCTTTCAGAATTAACAAAGGTATATACATAAGTAAACGTCATCGTGACCAGTACGAATCTGTCATCCTAGGGTAGTACAATATATTGAGTAGGACAAAACCGTGGTTATGGCTTCCCAAGCTTGGCTCTCAATCATCAATTACAAACACATTTTTCTATTCGCTTTTTCGGCCCGTATTATATTATTCTATGCATTTTTTTTTTCTTTCTGCTATCCGTCGTGTGGTACCTCAAGTAGCAGAGTAGCGCCTGGTGGAAAATTACTACGGGCATCTACGTAGTAGATATCAGCAGCTACCCGGAATACAGGTGATCGGCGATCGCTACCTGGCGCTACCAAGACTCGGTGTGTTGCTATCCGCTGCTACCTACTGGGAGGGGGGGGTCTTCTCAAGAAGCCCGGTGTGGCTTTGCATGAGGAGGAGGTGGAGGTATTGGGGGCCTCTTGAAGAAAAGGTTGTGCTATCGGCCGGAGGAGAGGATCAAGGTCGTTCAACATTCGTGATTTGCTGGTTTCGAGAAAGTAGACTTGGGTAGACAGCGAAACTATCCGAGTTCTGATTTTGTTCCTTCTTTGTATGTGATTGATTTTCACCACACTTACGTGGAATGGGCACTGCATGTATTCAATATAGATACTGACGAATGATTCGTAAATGTCGCTCGCAAGGACCACAACTTTCACCAAATCAAGACAATCAATGCCCGTTACTAATGCGCACCGAGGTCTTATCCCTACCCCAACACTTGAGACTGAAGAACCCCGCATCACGGCGCAGTCGCGCGAACCTCTCGAGATCCTCTAACAAAACGATACGATCCAGCAGCCTGAAGTCGATCAGGGCGAGCGCACTGGTGGAGTTCGTGGAGTTCATCCGGGATTCCAACATTGTCAACAACGCGGAGCTACTGAACAGATAAGTCACAGCGACGGTGAGATGGGTTAGTGCGGGAAGAACGAGTTCGCCCAATGCAAGCTGAGGAGTAAATTCCCTCAGGACGACGTCGGTGAGCGAGTTGGGAATCAGGCCGGTCATTTCTAGCTTTTCGACGGTGGGGATTGCGCGTAGGAGCTCGAGGAGGTCCGGGCCACGGATCCGGGCGTTTTCGAGTACTAGTGTCATCAATCGGGAACCTGAACGATCTACATGCGAGATGAGTGTGTCAAATGCGGCGCAGTCAACGAAGTGGAGGTGCTGTAGATTCGGCAGGGTCATGGTCTGGAAAAGACTCATGACAGAAACTCCTCTCGTATCTTTGCCGAGTAGAACAAGCGTGCGCACAGCGGGGCCCGATTGAGGGACTGGTATTTCACCCCAATATCGGACTGGATCCAAATTCGAACCGACGGTGAAGCTGTGGGCGTTCGAAAAGATAGAAAGAAGTTGCCCACACATTGACCCGCTGACAGTGTCGACAGCCAATCGTTGTATTTGATGGAACGGGAGTTGGGGGACGTGGTCAGGTTGGGAAACACCCCGGAATGAAACGGTGTGAGTGTCTGGACCAGCGATAATCGAAGTTTGAATCGACGCCCAAAATGTTGGTGTATCCAGCGCGACCGTTCTCCAATGGTGACACACCGAAGCAATGTGCGGTGTATCTACTTCAACGCGAGGGGAAAAGCGAATGGTAGATAGATGGTCGTGAATCTCTGGTCGAAGAAAAATGACCTGTAGAAGATCTATAGAGAGTCGCTGGATGGGCGAATTCAAAAGGGAGGAACAATCCGTGAGATATTGGAGGAGGATTTTCATTTCCTTTTCAACCTCCGCAGTAGGCACTTGTGTTTGAAGATCCGAGCGCCGGGCTTCTGCAGCTTCCATGGACCGCAGAATCGCCTCCCTTTCCGCATCCGAGGGCAGTATATTGCACCTGAGACGATCCCGAATTGCAAGTGCCTGTGTCTGGTAGGCTTCCATGCTGAATAATAGGCGCCTTTTAAAGCCCGACTTACTTATCCAGTGAATCATGAACACTTACAATGATAGCGGAAGTAACACAAGCAAGAAACTGGCAGTCTGAGGAGCACTGTTTAACCAAAAAGTAGCACAGTAACCTTGACTCACTGTTTGCCGTTTGAACTTATTCAAGGTAGCAAATGAAGCAAACTGAAGCAACCAGCAGGTCTTATATAAATCGTTATCTGATCCCATCGATATCGTCAATGATTTGATTGGCGCGGACATTCTCTATTCCGCTTCAGCCTTGGGCAAGAACCTTGGGCAAGAATTGGGAAGAAGATCATGGGTAGGCAAAGAAAAAATTCGCAGCGTAGGTTCAGGGATTCTGTCATCTGATTGTAAAGTTTGTTAACCACCGTACTTCGGAGATTGACTGAAGGAATGGATACGAGATGAGATTGATCCAGACCGGTGTCGTTTAAACACTGGGTTCAGACCGTGTATCACCCAAAATCATCTTGGCCAGATACCCAGGCACGTTGACGCGTCTTTTCCCGCATTTCACGTCGACGTGAATAGGTCCGCTTCGCCATCACGTGGTCCACGCGCTGTCATTTCGACACCGCCACAGCCACAGCACTGCCTTTTTTTTGGTCTCTTTCCACAGCATCTTGTCAGCATCCACACCGCTGCCCGTCGAGCTCTCAATTCTCCCCAATTCGTAGAGTAAGATACAGCAAGATAAGGTGTTATTACTCACATATTTCCTAGTGAACTCCAGTTTTGATGGTGGTCAAAGTTGCCGTGTGGCAAATCCAGACAGTACGTCCGTCTGCTTCGTTGGAATGCTTTCCGACTTGATTCGTTCGCTTCAGTCAGTGGTCTGGGAGTACGAATTTCCTTTTACCTGCAAACAATTGCACTAGGTGAGATGTCGCAAAATTCGTACTGATTCCTAAGCAATAGCGTACTAAGCATACCTCAGTTCTTCTGGCTGGACGTAACCTGGAGGAGGCTCTCAATTCTGTCTGGACGCTCCTGGGAACAAGCTTTGGGCTTACCATATCGGCTCTGGTTACTGCCGTGCAGAACGATCTCCCTCTGTACCAGGCAATCATTGTTACCGATCTCATATGGCTCTCAAACTTCGCCATTTTCATGGGGCTCGCGACGTACAACCGACACCCTCGCGGCTCGCACACCATCCAGTATGCCGCAATCGTGCAGACATACATATCCATGTCCTGCATCCTCTACCTCTGGGCCCGGGCCGCGAAGCTCGAGTTCGACGCCCACGAGGGCAGGACCGTCTTCGTCGTGCTCTTCGTATCGACGTTGGCCACCGGGCGAGGGCGGACCATTGCGCTCGCCATCACCTCCATACTCTTGGTGGGGTACTCTGGCGTAGCTACTCTCTTCGTCTATCGCCACCTGCCTTTCTGGCGCGCCCCCGAGCAGCAGCATAAAGACAAGCCGATTCCGCTACAAGTAGACATTCCCCCGTCGCCCATGAGCATCGGCTCCCAGAACCGCCTGCCCGCAAACCGCCCTCCGCCCTCACTCGCCGTTGACCCGCACCTAATGACGCTGAGCCTGTTCTTCGGCATCCCCTACGTTATCACCGTCGCCTGCACCGAGCTTCAGATCCGTCGCAATCCCCTGTGTGCTGATAATACTTTCTGGGGATTTGGCCAGGTGTGTACCCCCCTGTTGTACGCTCAATAACTCACATATCGCCTAGATCTTGGCCATGACCGTCAGTATCGTACCAGTGGTCATCACCGTCAAAGCGTTCCACAAGCACGGGCTGAAGCAACGCGCACGGGTCCGCGGCCCTGGTGAGGGCAACTTCTCCGATGTCTGATTATTTCCTCCCTCTTTGGTTTCCTTATCCTCCTCCGCTTTCCGTATATCCGCTTGCATATGTACCGTTCTGCTCTCCGTCAAATTGTTTTCACGCTTTCACCACTGTATCTATCTACTATCTCATGTACACTGTATCTTCTGCAAACGATTCAAATGGATTGGATTCTGGGTAACACGGAATCACGAATTTTGGATAACATGAAACGACAACAGCGATGGGACTACTGTACAATTAAATGTCCGGCGCTACATACACTTTTAATGCGACGAAACTCGGAAAATGCGGAACATGGACATGTCATGGTGCATTAGATATGCAGACCTCTAGGTAATAATGTGTGCGACACTTCGCTCACGCTCTGCCTCCGCCCTCTCCCGACGACCCAGCAGCTTATGCTGCTCGCCGATATGCGATTACCACTTCACGCTCGTCAGGGAGGGACTCCAGCTGGACGTTCAGCCCTTGCCCACGCTTCCTCCAGACCCAGACCTCCCACTCCCGGGAGCCCCCTCTGGGAGGTCGAACGTCACACCCTTGGCTCCACGTTCCCCGTTACCGTTGCCGTCCTCATCCATCGGCGCCGGCGACGACACCACATCCTCCCCAAACACCCCCGCCCTTGGCGTGCTCGCTCCACTCCCATTCCCATTCCCATTCCCACCCCCGCTTCCCTCCGCGAAGCGCACCGACCGCGACGGCGACGAGTCGCGCGACGACCGCGTCGAATGCTGCAGCCTCAAGCTATCCACGCGCGAGTGCCTCGACTGCCCCGCCCCCAGCGCCTGGCGGCTGCGCGCCGAAGGCCGGTACGCATAGTCCGTCGACGCAAACGGCGACGCGGGCATCTCCCCCTCATCCT